TAGCCCCAACTGCCTTTGTCGGAAGGCGCTGGACCAATCTTGTAAGTCCTTCTATCCAACATCATGTCCGTGTCCCAGCCATGGCCGAGTTTCTGTTTCCATGGTCTCACCTGTAGCTGTGATGCACTGATCTGCCACCAATCATGCTTTTGGGACAGTGGCCCTTGCCCTTCCATGCCCTTTGTAAAGCTCGGTGTCTTACAACCAACCCACCCTCGGAGGTCATTTTGACCTCATGCGATGGCCGCCCTGATCTGGATGCTGGGCCCGTGTCTTGGTGTTGTCTTTGTCTCCTGTAAGACTGATACGTGTTCTCTTTAAAGTCCATTTGAGATGGGGGTCTCTGTCGCATGCTAAAACAATATCACGAATTTAATTGTTTATCGAGAAGGCATCCCAACCCAGTCCACCTGAAGTACCTATGTCCTGTGCAAGCCAGGGTCCTCTTCACCGGCACGTAGCTGCAGGCCAATGATGCACCAAGCTCAAGCCGATGCAGGCAGATGGCAGACCTGTGGGAGCAGAGATGCACGGATTCAAGGTGGACGGGAACATGGCAGGGAGCCAGTAGCTCTCAGGGTGAGGCAGCCCACATGGGCAGAGTCCCAGTCAGCAGGAAGGGGCAGGGGCAGAGAGAGGGAGGTTCCCATGGGGCTCACTCTTATACACAAAGTCTTCTGACATCAGGGAGGGGTCCTCAGGCTTGGACTCAATGGATAGGACACCCTTATGCAGGAGTGTCGAGTTATCAGTTACCGCCTTCACCGTCCCAGTCTGGCATTATGAGTAGGCATCACTCCATGTCCGTGAGTTGGGCTTTGGTTTGGAGCAGAGGACTAGAGCTCTCTCTCCCTGCCATTGAGTCAATGCCAACTCAGTGTCCCTGTTGGACAGGGTAGACGAGCCCAGTTCTTTCTGAGACCGTAACTGTGTAGGGGATCAGAAGGCCCCGTCTTTCTCCCTTGTGGTTGATTACCACCTAATGGTAAGCATGGCAGCAGTCAAGAGACCAAACGCCGTGTCGCATTGAGTAAATCCTCTTCAGCGTTATTGAGAAGCAAGAGTGGCCCTTTTCTGACCCAAGACATGGCGATGTCAGTCGCCTGCTGTGCGTGTTGGTCATTAAAGACGGGCTGCCGCCAGCCCCGTTTCTGTGACAGTCTCCTCTGCCTTCTCGTCCTTTTTAAGTCCGTGAAACTCAGCAGACCCTCGGGCGCCCATATGATTTCCTGCTAACGTAAGGTGACCAGATTTTAACATTGGTAAAGTGGGACAAACACGGGACACCATTGATAAAATTCATATCCTGGCAAAATAGCCACATGGCAGCCGAAAACCGCATACCCTAGCTTGTCGTGCATTCTTTCCAAAAATCGGGACTTTTTCAAAATGCCACGGGACGCAGGAAAAATTGTAAAAAATCGGAACTGTCCCGCCAAAAGTGGGAGGTCTGGTCACCTTATGCTAACGGTCCGTCTCCCTCGTCTGGATGATGTGTCTTCATCCTCTGTAAGTTGTAGGCAATATTTTCCTTAACTTCGACCTGAGATTTGGGAGTCTCCTTCTGAGCCTAAAACACTAGACAAAAACCCTAACAAGATGGGTCCAGGGCCCTACAATCAAGGCAGTCAGGCTGAGTTAGGGCGAGGGGACCCCAGTCCTCCAATCTGCACCAAGCACACAACCAGAGAAGTGCCCCACCCCCCACCCCCAGCCCCACCAGGAGACTGCCTCTTCCAGGGCTGGTCATGGGAGTGGTAATCCTCCTCTTTCCAAAGTACTCTGTCTGAGGGCAAGACTGTTCACACTC